CCCCCCAAGAAATAAAGTTATGTTGTTATTAGAATTTCAGGTTGTTGAACGACAGCTATTGAGTATGAATTATTTATGATTAAATAAATTTTGTCACGTGTTGAAGTTAGCGACAACACTAAATACTCGATCGAGGTCCAAGGGTTGACATTTAATGCAGCCTTTTCCAATTTGATGCGGGTACCATGCCGAAATGCATTAGTAGTTATCGATGCACAAGGGCTAAAAATACAATCGTGCTATAGGTACAGGATCCTGTACCTACAGAACAAATATATGAGTGGGCGTGAAATTTTTTTTTCAATATTTTATACATGGGGTCCACTTCATGTGTGTGGGAATTCAAATTCCTGTAACATTCTAGTAAAAAATTCCTGAACTCAGAACATTTTTCCTAAAAATATATGATTATTGTTCAAAGTATCATACTTGGGAGAATTACATAGCATCATATGAAGGAAATGTGATTGTTCACTTTTAACGTAAATGATATGGCTTGATTTCCATTTGATTTAGCTTAAAAAGCAAAACAGGATCATAATAGTATGCTTGCTTATTCCTAAATGATGCCAAGTTTGTTGCTAGCTCAAAATTGAAGTCTATTATATCACATCTATGATACATGCCCTTAAATCTTTCGTTGTATCGTCCTTGATTATAAAAATATGTTCGGGTCGTTTATTTGTGAATTCATCACGTTTTTTTCTTTTGTCAATGAAAGGTATACAATGCCAAATGTACCCAGTTGTAAAGTCTAACATAACGTATTAGAATTGTTTGAAGCACACACTTGAGCACGGACGTACATGGAGTCGATTATATTTTATTTATTCAAATATAAATAATTTGGAGGATAGGAGGCACTAGCATTACAAACACAATAAATAAATAAAGCAAAATCTCCACATCTTACTTACGAAAATATGAACATTAAAGCAGTGTTAACTAAACTTGACCCACACACATAGATAACTGCTAGGGCAAACCCATTTTTCTAGTTTGCCCCTGCAATCAAGGGTGGGGTGGCTTCTCCAAATTCTCAAGAGGGCGAAAAAAGGTCTTTTGCTCCAACACATAATCGCCACTAGCACTCATCGACGACGAGTGAAAACCACATTCCCCCGGGTTGTCATCCGTTGCAGGGCCAAAAACCCCGGTCTGAGGGTGAGGAGCCCAATATTTGTCAGATTCAAGTAGGTTTATATAGTCGGGCACCACGGTCGAGTGTGCATGCTCCTCTAGGTTCTTGTCGTAGACCGACACGTGCACACCCCTCTTGCGTAATGGATTATTTCAACATATATTGGATAAATTCGGATTTAATCAAAGAATAAAGCAATGATATGACAGAAAATCTAGTAAGATAGGATTAATATGGTACCTAAATAGAAGGTTTTATTAATTAAATACGAAAACCTAAACAAGAGGCTTTAATAGCAGGCGCTTGTATTAGGTAGGTGTTTGTTCTCACATGTTCATCGTTAATGTAAAGGAAATAGAAAATTATACATAGTCGAAAACAAAACATGTCTAGTGCTTTAAAAGCACCGTCACGTTTGGAAAGGTAGGTTGGACAACCTTAGTGCTTGTTTGGTAGAGATTTTTTGGGGAATAACTGATTTATGAATAGNATATTAACAGTCCCATTTGATGCCCATTTTTTATTGCAAAATATGCATTTAGAAATAGTGATTTGATGGAGAATATGTGATTAAAAATAAGGAAAAGTTTTGAATTTGCATGTAATATTATTTTATTGAAAAATATGCGGTTGAAAATGAGAATTGATTTATTATAGAATTTGAAAATTAAAAACAAACATGCCCTTAATTTGAACAATATCATAAAAGTCTATTGTAATGAATAATAATATCATTGATTAAAGTTGTAAATGAATGAGTTGTTGAACATTCAAAAACTCACCCCACATTGGGAGAAATAAGAATTAGGACGAACCAAATAATAGTCTAATTGGCACAAAACGTTCCTACCTTTGAAGTGTATTGTGGAAAACGTTCATACCTTTGATTTTTGACATTTATGCCCCTACCTTCAACATTTCTTGCACTGAACATCATTTTCACATGTTTTTGACGATTTTACCCCTCATTCAAATAAAATAAAAACTAAAGAATTAAATGTCACTATAACTCCAAATTTTTAAAACATACTTATCAGTCACAAGTTACTAATTTCTTGTCCCCAACCAACTGTCAACTTTGGTGCCATTTTTAGCTAGTGGCGTCCAAAAGTCCCGAACCGAACCGAACCGAACCGAATCGAGTGGTTCTTCATAAATTAAATACCCGAATGGGTACCCGAATCGAGAACCAATGGGTTGGGTTGGGTCGGGTCTCGGGTCTAGACCAAGAACCGAAGAACCGAATAAGAACCGAAACTAAATAAATTTTTTATTTTTTATATTGAATTAATTAAATTATTTTATTTTTTTTATACAAATTAGCAAATTAATTAAATAAATCAGATTATTTCGTAATTTTAATTTTAAAGTCCAAATCATTTTTAAAACCCATTAACCTATTTTAATTTGAAACAAATGAATATACTTTATATAGTTTTGCTGTAATATTAATATATATTTTTTGGTATTTGTATACACTGAATTAATCTTATTGGACGGCTAGTTATTTATATGTTTTTGAATTGAGTTACGTTAATTTGTAAAAGTTACGAATGAAATGTCATTAGTTGTATTTATGTAGTGTTGCTGTAAATATTAAAAAATTTGATCATAGTACGGAACCGAACGGAACCGAACCGACTCGAACCGAACCGAACCGACCCACGGACAGCCCTATTTTTAGCCACCTTCCGACCACCGGATATTGACATCAACGGAAAGCCCTTAACCTCCTCTACAATCACCACCCAACAACTCCCCATAACACCAAATAATCTAGCCGAAATCAACTCTCAAATTCAGCCACTCGAAAATCTTGAAGGAGGAGTTTCAAGCTTGGGGTTTTATTGTTTTTCCTCATTACTTTTCAACATGTCCACTTGTTTGCTAGCATTAGATTTGGTCCAATACTTTTTTTTCTTTAATCATTATGATTATAGGGATTACTTTACCCAATTGAATTCTGAATATACAGATATATATCTTCGGTCATCCCGATTGGTGCTATGACTCTTTGGCTTGGAAACACTGTTTACCTCTATATATCTGTTGCATTTGCTCAAATGTTGAAAGCAATCGGTAAGAACAACTAGTTGTTGTATTTGTTGATATTGATTTAGCTTGTCTATACCTAATTTTTGTAGTAATGTGTTACTAATCTCATTCTCAATAACAATTTCAGTGTCAGTTGTTGTTTTCATTCTTAGTGTAGTAGCTGGACTCGAAATAATGAGCTACAGGATGCTTCTTATAATGTCAGTGATTAGTTTCAGTGTACTGATAGCTTCATATGGGAAAGTAAATATTAGCTGGGTCGGTATTTTCTACCAAATGGAAGATGTCATTGGAGAAGTTTTGAGGCTAATATTTATGGAGATTTTGGTGAAAAGGGAGGGTCTCAAATTAAATCCCGTATCTGTGATGTACTGTGTTAGCCCCTGCACGCATGTAATTTATCCTTTTAAAGTATTGGAACCTATGCTATTAATCTATTTTGAGCTCAAATATAACAATTTTGGTTCATTTTGCAGTGCTATTTGCCTCTTAATTCCCTGGGTCTTTCTAGAGAAGTTGAAGATGAATGCACATGGGACCTGGAACTTCAAACCTCTTATCCCGACTCTTAATTCTCTTTGTACTTTTTCCCTCAATCTTTCAGTTTTTCTCGTCATCTCGCATACAGGTGCTTTGACTATTCGTGTGGCAGGAGTCGTCAAGGATTGGATTGTAGTTCTACCATCGGCCATTCTTTTTGCTGATACAAAACTGACACTTATCAGTTATCAATCTGTTTGGTTATGCAGTTGGTCTCTCTATTCCCTCCAAACTGTTCTTTTATATTACCCCAAGTCGGCGAAATAATGTAGCATTGTGATGTTTCCCTTATGTTTACGGCAAAAAAAGATGGTGTTTTCCTTGCTTTGATCCGAGGCTTCTATTTCCACAACTCACTCCCTAGACTTAGTAGGACAAACGAAATGGATAAAGTTAATTCGTTCGAAAGTCGTACTTGTTTAGATACAAACATCTGTCCAATTACTAGCTTAAAAAAGGGGAATTTGTTTAAAATAAACTCAGTTCATCACCGTATCAATAAGATAGTCCACACTCCAGAGAAAAATGAATTTAGAACCTTGGGACACGGATGTATCAAACCCAGTGCTATTCTCATGCAAAATGACTTCTCTACTACGGTAACCAACATCAACCTGATTGTTGCAAGAATTAGAGAAACTACGAGGCAAAAAGGGGCACGATTAAAGATCCTACACTTGGGAAAAACTAGGGAAAAGGCAAATGCACCAAATTATGTAAAGACAATATTGAAGTTCAACTAGAACCAACACCCCATAAACAAATTAGAATGTAAAATCACAGTTCTCACTATTTCTTCTCTTCCTTTTCAGCCACAGCAGCCCTCTTTGCCCTGACTCCAACATGGCGCTTATTAGTTCGTTCTAAACACAGTTTGTCATATGCCTTGAATGACTTCATCTCCTCTGTGACCTTGACAAGCTCCACAGTTGGCTTCTCCCGTACAATTGGCATGTAAGAAACTTAGACTTGAGTAGCTGTTGCCAACTCCTCTGGAGTAGAATCACCAGCCTGCAAGAGAACCAGCAATCATGACAAAAGAAACAAAGAATCTGTAGCCATTTTCTACCACTGAAAATCAACATTACTTTGGATTTAGGAGCACGTCTTGGGAAGATGACTAATTTGGCCTTGTAAGTCTTCAGTCCATTAACATTAGTCTGAAAACCCTCCAGGGAAGAGTTCCTACGACGATGATCAACAGCAATTCCAATAGTT